AGCTGAATATAGAGTCTAAAGTACGGTAAATATGTCTATAATTTCATTTTTTATTGTAATATCTTTATAATTTTAAATATTCTAGTGTATGAATAATTGTAATCTTCCAAACATTTGTCATTTTATATTACATATCTCTAAATAATATTTTAAAATTTTTTGTGTAGATCTTCTACACATATTTCTCAATATTTATTCCTACTCTTTCTTTTCTTTTCAGTTTGGCAGGGGCCGGGTTCGAACTTGCTACCCTTGGTATATGGGGCCAGTGCCCAGCCCATTGAGCCACAGGCACCACCCTATTCCTACTCTTTATTGATGCTATTAGAAATGATATCTTTATTAAGTAATATTTTTTTAACATCACTGGTATATGGAAGTAGAATTGAATTTCTCATGCTGATATTCTAAACATTATAATTATAATCTATATTTTGATCCTTTGGGTTTTCTATGAATGTAATCATATTATATATATATATATATATAATATAAAATGAAGCTTTATTTCTTCTATTCCAATCTTGCTTGTTTCTCATCCAATCATACTGGCTAAAATCTCTAAAATTAAGTAGTTTGAATAGAAGTGGTGATAGAGGCTATTTTTGTCTTTTTCTCAATTTTGAAGGGAAATTTTTCAATATATGCATAGTGCTTGTTGAAAGGTTTATTAGATCCAGTTTAACAATTTAGGGTCTCTCATTCTATTCCTAGCTTAACAAATCATTTTTATTATTTTTGTGAATCTTGGGTTTTATCAAACACTTAATTTTGAATCTAATGATATGATCATATAGTTTTCTTTTTTATTCTGTTATTTTAGTGATTTAAATTTATTCATTTTTTGGTTCTGCAATATATTCAATATGACCAGTGTTTATGTTTTCTTTTTATAATTGACTTACTTGATATTATCTTCAAATTCACATTAGTGAGATTACCATGCAATTTTCTTTCATCTTTTGTTCTCAAAGTTGTGCTGAACTAAAAAGGTCTTGCTTTCATCATTGCATTCATCATTGCATTATTGTAATTATTTTTTTTGTATCTGATCTACTCAGTCATTACTGTCCCCTAACATGAATGTGCATCAGTTTTTCCTCGGAGTCTAAAATATTGGAAGGTGGATTAGACTTAAACAAAAAGAAATTCAACTCTTATTAACATCTGAAGAAAAGAATGAAGGATGGATATGCATGTGGATAAATTTATAGGTGGCAGGTAGAAAGCTAATGAAATTTCTACCAGAGGCCTCTGTTTTATCTTGGAAGTCAAAGCAACATAACCTTTTGGAGACATATGAGACATTGGGTAGAAGGACTGAAAAATCTGTTGAACGTTTGCAATGGGGGATGAGAGAGACAAATAACAGGACATACATAGACTGATTTCTGAGGAGGGTGGAGAGCCCATTTGAAGTTAAAAGAAACTAAGGACTTTTAAAGGAATGATTCAGCATATTTGTACATCCATCTCTAGCACCTCTCAAGTGCCTATAAAAAGTGCAGAAAAAGGTCTTGCTGAAAGGCTCCAGACCTGCAATTTTTCATGGTAAGTGTGAGGAAAAGACAAAGTGATAGGAAATTTTAAGTTAGGATAAACAGAATATGAACTTATGAGCCAACAGGACATTTTTTATATGTAGTTATATATATATGTGTATAATACTAGATTATTGATGGAAATTTAACAAAGACAGCACAAATGGGAAAATTCAACCTTGACCAGTTTTGAAGGCAAAAGTTAAATATCTTTGGAGCTTTATCTAGATTTAGCAATACTGAAAAATCAGAGAGGCAAAAGTATCTCAGAATGATCTCCTGGGACAGTTTATCTTAGGATACTATATAGAATGATATTAATTGCCATATTGGGAGCACTGTATCCCTGGGACCTTTTTGCATTTAATGTCCTGTGTCCTCTCCCAATCTCTCCTGATTTGCTATCTTCAGAGATATCCATTCTCAAATAACAGACCCTATAACCAATAAATGGGCCTTACGCACTGATTTGACATTTTGAAATAATAACTATTTGAACCTGATGGCTTGAATATTCTTTTCTTATTAAAATGTGATTATAAGTGTAAAGTATGGAAAATGTCCTTGCTTTTAACTTATCCACTTTTATTTATGCCTTGATTTTATATCCATACCATACCCATGATTGTTAACTTTTAAGAAGAAATTGAGATTCTGGTTAAAAGTGACGTTCACCTGGGTGAAAGGAGGTAATATCATTCTTGTGATGTTGAATCTTGCATCATTGTGAAATACAGTTCTTCGAGAAAACTAATAGGAACAGATTCTTAACAATCAGGAGAAGGTTCATGAGCAGGAATTAATCTCTCATCACATTTCTTTTGAGGTATTGTGCATGTGTGTTGTTAAAAACATGGGGAAAAGTCTTATTTGATTGGGATGAGTAAGGTGGTAACAAGTGGGCTGTATTAAAGATACTAGCACAAGAGCGAAGTGTTTACTTTTTTTTTTTACTTTTTTCTTTTATAGAAGTAAAATGAGTACACTTTAGACTAGCTAAACGAATGGGAATATATGTGTATATTTATGTTTGTGTGCATGGATATATATACACATGACTGTGTCTTTATTAGAATTAGAACTGTATATATCTTTTGTATATGTTTTATGAACATATATAAATGTAATATATAAACATATATATTTAACTATATGACATATTAGATATATATATGTAAGCAGTTTGTTCCGTGGGGGTAGTTTTATGTTCTCTTTTTACAATTGCGCTCACCTCTGCCTGTTTTGAAGGATCGCTAGGGACTTGATTCTACTAGTAGATGTCCAGATCCCTCATCTGCTACTTATCTTGCCCTCATTGCATTTCCACTAAATTCTGCTAAGTGTCATTTTTACATGATGAAATTAATATAAGGTACTATATCATTGAGAATTACATACTATATTTTACTTTCATGACCATTTTTTGCAACAAGTAATAAAACAATTTTAAGGATATGCTATTATTGCTAGAAAAGAATTTTAAAGTCTGTGTGATTCTTGCTAATATGTGGTACATTCCTGTTTTTCCTAGATATGAGGTACAGTTATGATCTTTGAGTATATACTTTGTTTCAGTGAATATATTTTAAATTTCTGCATTTATAATTGCTTAGAATTTTCAAAAGTCCATTAAATATCTTGGGTTTTTAGTCTTCAATTATAGAAGGTGAAAATTCTGCGTAGGTTCCATGCACATTGAGGTAGCTTCTTTTATCCCAGTAAAGAGACTGCCTTATTCTGATCCCCACTCCCTCCATTCAGATTCAACAGCCTCTTAATTCAATACACAAGGCCAGGAAGCTGACTCCCTTTCCCAATACCACACACTAAAGAAGGGAAAGAGGGTGGTTCTGAGTACATTGTGTAAATGTACGTCAGCAATAAGCTGGTAAACTAAATGAGTTAACTAATGGCTAAAGAAAATGTTTTTGAAATATGTCCATATGATTAAACATTTAGATATAAATGTTCTTATTATTACTTTCACTAGCCAAATGTTTGCCATTATATAGGAAAAATAACCTCTATAATCTCCAGAAACTGACTGTCATTAGTGTACAGCAAATCCTCTTTTAAAAATGCCCAACTCAAAATTAACAATTGAAGAATGGAAATGCTACTTCATATATTATTTACATATATTAAACATCTATATTATTAAGGTTTTTTTCTCTTTTGTTTTTTCTTTGGTTATTACTAAGTTTATTTTTGTCATCTCAAGGTCTGAACACTGGATTCAGTTCAGGTCAGTAGAGTGGTGTGGTGCCTTTGTTGTCTGTCTCTGCTTCCTGAAGCCCTTTGCGATCTCCAGAAGACTCAGCCTATAGTCCACAGAGAAGGGTAGATTCACAAGAAGACTGTGGGAGAAATTTGGAACCCAAGTTGATGATATAAAATACTCTGTGCCATCTGCAATCTTCTACAGCTTATAGGAAATAAATAAATAAAAGTAGCCACCATGTTCTGGCTTCAGAGAAATAATAGTGTTGCTGGTGATCGTGGTCCCATTGTTAACCTTGATCTCCCTCAGAGATCTTGATCCTGGTCTTGTTCTAAGGACTTATCATGTTCTCTTTTTCTTCTCTGGGAATGGTATCTAAGCCTTCAATTTTGAAACCAGATTTGGACTCTTGACTGGAGCTCCAATTTCTTCAGCAAGTTGTTCTCTGCATTCCCAGGATAAGGGTCTTTCGTAAACGCCTGGATGAGAGTGTGTAACTGTGTGGGAGGTACAAAACCGTCTGGTTTCTCCTCTTTATTTGTGTTCTGCAGGGCAAACTTGTCCTTGGCTTTGGTCAATTCTAAAGTCTCCTCAAGTTCCATTTTTCTCCAATTTGTGCCTGGCTCTTTGATTCTGAAGCCAGATCTTCGTTCTTGCCTCATCAGTGTTGGTTTCTAAAGCAAGTTTTTCTTTGATGGCATAATCTGGGTAAGGTTCTTGATTGAAGGTATTGATGAGGATTTTCAGTTGATCATCTGTAATTTGCTGCAACTGCGCCTATGATTTGTTGCTCTGGTTTGGCTAGCAGAGCTGTCATGGGTCATGCTGGAGGGGACATGGGGAGACTCAGAGGTCCAGAGACTTGGAACTGAAGAACTGAGTCAGTTTTTTCTTTTAATTTGTCATAAGGTAAAAATTAATTGAACATATTTTGTTTCTCAACATTCTCTTTTCTTCTACCTTTAAAATTTTTTTTCTGTAGTAAATTTTATCTTGACTTCTAATAATCATCCCTCAGGAAAATGCTGCTTTCACAGTAGCCAGCCTTCATTAATGCCACCTGCTATGGCTTCTGAAGAACCCTGCATCAAAATTTATTCCCTGAGTCACTATAATTTCCCTCAGATTCAGTGTTTCAATAATAAGCCTTTATTACTTAAAGTTTGATATTGTGACCAGTGGTACACATTATTCTCTCTGAATTCTTGTAACATTTTTCTCCTTTTCTGAACAGAGTAATGGGCATGATCAATATCAGTGTCAATGGAGACTTCATCCTGGCAGGCTTCTCTGACCAGCCCTGGCTGGAAAAGATACTTTTTCCAGTTGTTTTGATATCTTATCTCCTAACACTTGTGGGAAATACGGTAATTATTCTGATCTCCTCTATAGACCCTAAACTGAAAACACCCATGTACTTCTTTCTTACTCACCTATCCCTAGTAGATATCTGTTTTACCACCAGTATTGTCCCTCAGCTGCTGTGGAACCTAAAAGGACCAGCCAAGACCATCACATTCCTGGGTTGTGTCATCCAGCTCTATGTCTCCCTGGCACTGGGCTCCACTGAGTGTGTTCTCCTGGCTGTAATGGCTTTTGATCGCTATGCTGCAGTTTGCAAACCTCTCTCTTATACAACTGTGATGAACCCACAGCTGTGCCATGCCCTGGCAGGGGTTGCATGGGTGAGTGGACTAGGAAACTCTGTCATCCAGAGCACCATGACCCTCTGGTTGCCTCATTGTGGACACCAGTGGCTCCATCATTTCTTCTGTGAAGTGCCCTCCATGATTAAGCTTGCATGCGTGGACATCCATGCCAACGAGGTCGAGCTCTTCATTGCTTCATTGGTCTTGCTCCTTTTGCCCTTAGGACTGATACTGCTGTCCTATGGACATATAGCCAAGGTAGTTTTAAGGATCAAGTCTTCCCAGGCCTGGCACAAAGCTCTGGGAACATGTGGATCGCACTTGATGGTAGTGACCCTCTTCTATGGGACCAGCACAGCTATCTACATCCAGCCCAATAGTGCTTATGCCCATACTCATGGGAAATTCATCTCTCTCTTCTATACAGTTGTGACCCCAATGCTGAATCCCCTCATTTACACACTGAGAAATAAAGATGTAAAAGGAGCCCTGGGGAGACTATTTCACAGAGGCCTAGGCACATGAAAAATGAAGTAGAATACAAAGCTGTGAATTTTTTTTAAGGCAAAGAGCCTTAAAGATCAGTTTGTTAATCTTTCAATCAAGAACTTTACCAGCCTATAAGGAACAGATACAATTTTCACAGTCTGTGTTGTATTCCACTTGACCTCAAAGCTATCTTCTCTCTTTCCAGAATTCTTTTGCACCCTACGTAATGCAATGTTTCCCCACACATTTTAAATGTTTATTTATTTATTTTTGAGACAGAGTCTCACCATGTCACCCTCTGAAGTATGCCGTGGTGTCATAACTTGCAGCACACTTCCTCTTGTGTCAGCCTCCCAAGTAGCTGGGATTACAGACACCCGCCACAATGCCTGACTATTTTTTTGTTGTTGTCGTTGTCATTGTCATTTAGAAGACTCAGGCCAGGTTCGAACCCACCAGCCCCCACGGTGTATGTTGATGGTGCCCTAACCACCGAGCTATGGGCACTGAGCCTTAAGTGTTTATTATTCATATTTCTGTTCAACCTCCCTTCCTTCCTCTGTTTTTCTTCATTCCTTTCTTCCTTTTTTCTTTTTTTCCCTTCCTTCCCACATTTTATTTCTTCCTTTCTTCTCATTTATATGATGTGCTCTACAACTGTTTTCACTGATGCTTGTATGTTATATCATTTTCCATCAATATTCTAGCTATTCTCCAAATGAAACTATTTCTAGATACTTTTCCCATTTATCATTACAAAAGCTTTCATTTGCCTTAATATGGGGATCAGTGGAGAGATTAAAATAGAAAATTTGGATATTAACCCTACAACTTCCTTTTTAAGCCTTTGCAAGTTGGACTTTCTGATAGCCAGATTTACTGATGAATAAGGAATGAGCTTTATTATTATGTTAATTAAAATATTAAAAAGATAATATAAGTAAAGTACTTGGTAATAAAGGATCAATGAAAATCAATTAACATTTTTAAAAATCATTTACTCCTTTGGTCATAGTATTCTGCATATTTTGATCTAATCTGGGCTTATTACTTTTAATTGTTTTCAGTAAAATTTCTTACCTAGTCTCTAATTATTTACCCACTTGTATTTATATCTCAATGGAAAATAAATCACCTGAAAATACAAGAAAAATAAATCAATCCTTATTTTGTCTTTATAACATGGAAAGAAACATATGATTTATTTTCTCCCCTCAATTATGGAAAGTGTGGTACACTTGCATTTAATGATGATACTATGTAGTGGAGTTGAAGGTTTCATTTCCAAAAGAACAGATATTGCAGTGTGAAAGTAAAGAATGATATCTGAACTTGGAAGCTATGTCTTGTCTCCACTACTTATTTATAGCTGCATAACTCCAGGTAAATTATTTAACATTTCCAAGTTATTTCTAAAATGAAGAGAATCTCAAAAGGTTATTGTATTTTAGTAGATAGTTAGAAGGCGTATAGTAGTGACAAGAATGAAACTGAGGAGTTAATTCAACCAGGTCTGCTTTCCCTGCTTGTTTTTAGTTGCTTGATTTTGTTCTTGCTTTATTTTTTCTTTGAAGCTGAAGGCTGTGGTAGCTGAAGGCCGTGGTAGCTGAAGGCCATGATGCTGAACATTAAAACTTAACCTTCACTGATTACTTCATAAATACCATTCATAAGTCACCATGGTAATGGCTGCTTCAATTCTTTGTTAGGAATGTGGGTCAGCTCCTATTCAGTTCAAACCAATTGAGACTGACCTTTCAACCAGGCCTGCGCAAATGCCCAACCAGTGATCTTTTGATACCAGAGGGCCCCCAAGCCCCGCCCTCAGATCATACTAACACTGCCATTTTCTGAATGAAATGCCATGCACGTCCACTACAATAAGCTAAAATAAAACCCTAACATCCACTTCCCACCAACTGAACAGATGCCCTCATGGCCAATAAGACTATAAAAACCTTGAAACTGAGTTCTCCATCATGGCAATAAGGGAGGCCAGACACAGTTCATTATACTCCTCTTTCTTTTATAATTTTGACAAAATTGACCAGTATTAATGTCAAAACAGAGATCCTGAGACTGACAAAACAGACACTTCATGACAATGAGATACTAAATTATTAACAAGACCTAAGGCCATGCAAACAAAAGTTAAATCACATCTGTAGGCATTAATTTGCTTAACGAACCACTTGAGGTCATTTATTGTGGCTTGTTTCTAATTAACAGACTCTTTTATCTTAACTGAAAACATTCTAAGCTTTCAGACAAAGCTGTATTTCTTTAACCGATTACTACAAATTAAAGAATCTCTGATCCCATCAATATCCTATAAGTTCTTCCACCTCCTTACTCCCGTTTGACAATGTCTTATCTCACTAAAATGTATCAAACTGGACTTTAACCTGACTACCCTGAGACTTCTTACTCAAGACTTCTTGGGGGAATGGCTCCAGTGGCCAATTGTTACTCATGTCCAACTTAATAAATCTTTTAAGATTATTTCACAGAGTTTGGGGTTTCTTTCTATTAATAGTTGAAATTATTCTAAGTAGCTTCGGGCACAGCTGGGACTCCAATCCCTGTAGACGTCTGGTTTTGAACACGAGATTAGAAATAAGCCACCAAAGGCAGCCTGTGCCAGACTGCAGGAGCCCTGTGATGGATGAGGAGAGCTGAAGTGTCCTGCAGTGCAAGCAGAAGAAGGCAGGACTCTGTAGCCTCTGCGGGCACTGCCTTGGCCTTGGCAACAGCAGAGTTCAGCTATCCATGAGCTCCCAGCAACTGTAAAGGCATCTGTAGGCCAAGCAGAGGCCCAGGCACTTGTCCACAGTCCAGAAGGCAGCTCAGAGATCTAGTGCTGCAGCCCTATGCAACCCCTAGAATCCTTGGTGGCAATGCTGGACCAGGGGACAGCTGGAGTGATGGGAGATGTTCTAGAAACTGCAGACTTGCCTTCTAGGGCACCATCAAGCCCTTGCTGGACATATTTGAGTACTATGTTGTACCTGTTGAAGCACAAGTACTGTGCATCAGCTCCTTTTGAGGTCTGGGCCTCAGCAGACTTTGATTATCCTTGCAGCATTTGCTAGCAACAGCAGAGTAGACATTTCATTGCTCCAATTCCTCATTTGGAGATCCTGAAGGGACCTGAGAGCACAACCACATATACATTCAACACACATAAGGCCCAGCACATATTCTCAAGAGATGTGGCTTTCAGAGGCTCTACACACCCTGCCTGAACAGTGGGAGGATTGCTCCACACTGCCTGAATGAGGGCACCTTGTAGAGCATGATCAGTCACTAAAGAATGCAAAGGCGGTAATTTGAATGAGAGAGTACAAGACCAAAAACAAGAGTGAGTTTCTGCTTCTCCCTTCCTGAAAAGGAGGAATGATTAGGGTCAGAAACTTTGCTCTCCCAGCTGTACCAGAGTAGTGCACCTCCCAGGCTGCTGGGTCCTTTGACAGGCATCTTCATCTCTGTGGATCCCTCCTGCAACCAGTGCCTTCAGGCAGCTCCAGTTTTGGTGTCAGCTAGTTGACATCTTTCTTCTCTTCCCAATATTTGAATGATCTTTCAGGGGCAAAAAAATTAACATTCAAAAAGTAAGAACGAAAGAAACAATGATACCCCAACAATTGTGAAAACTGTAGCTACTTCAATTATGTCTTCTGTTAGGACCAAGTGAAGTTTTTATTTGTGTTTATGAAATTTAAAACAAAGAAACAAGGTGTGAATTGAAGGTATAATATGTGTATCTTTGCATCTTACTATTAGTTCCTACCTAAAAGACTTAATTGAATTTATCTACTATACTTAAAATTTAGATTTCTTCTTCTTTTTAAATGTTAATTGTTTTAAAGTCAGAGAACAAATCGAGAAAATGAAATGTTACCTCAGTGATGCAACTGTATTTTTGCAGATGTTTTGGTTGTTATAGTATAATATTTATTTCTGTAATGATACACTTACATATTCAAAATTCAATGAAAGAAAATTTTCTATACCACTTGGGGGCAGGACACAATTACAAGAGGGATTTTACCTAACAAATGCAATCAGAGTAACCTAATCCTTTGTACCCTCAATGAATCCCAAATAATAAAAAATAAATAAATGAATAAATATTCCAGAAATTAAAAATAAAAATAGTTATTTTATTAAACACTCATCAAACTAGCATAAAAAGAAAATTTTCTCTTACAACATTTCTTTTCTGGCCATTGTTATCATTTGTCTGTATGATTATTACCAAAAATAAATTTTTTCCATATTAAGGACAGGGTGGAACATTATCTACTAAAGATGTTCATCATTGTGTAGCAAAGTGAAAGAAAAGACACCTGGATAGAGATATGTTATAGTGAGACTGCAATCACCAGCAATCAAGTAAAAACATAAAATCTATTAGGGGTGCAGGAGAGGGCTGAAAATTTCTATGTAAAGGCTGATAAATTAAAAAAAAAATTGACTTCTCAACAAAAATACTGCAAACTAGACTGCAATAAAGTAACAATTGCAAAATACTAAGGGAAATGTATTTCCTTCTTAGAAATCTATGCTCAGGTAAAATATTAATCAAGTAAATATTATAAGACAATTTAGAAATTTTTGGATACAGAGGCTCTTGTTCTTCTTGTTCCAGGATTCTCAGGAAGGCATTGAGGATATGCTTCACTAAAAGAAAAAGCCAAAAGCATAAGGTGCACAAAAGAAAGGACTTAATGCAAGAAAGCAAGGAAGAAAACCTGAATGTGAATGTTGTAAAGATGAATTCCAGGGAGACATGTGTGTGCAGAATCCAGTTTGAAGCGTATAATCGCCAGCAAAGACAGAAGAAAAATGAGCTGACAGGCTACCTGACCTGTTTGATTATTCTGATATGGGCCCTTATAGTTTTGAGGACAATATTAATGAAAAGTACAGAGAAAAATTATATACACTCGTAACATCTTTTAACATAATGAACAAAAAGCTAGAGAAAAGAAATTTAATCATGGTGCACCATACAGCTTAAATGAAAACTGAAT